TTGCCGCACATTCACTATATTATTGTCGGACAAAGCCACCGTTCTGACAAATCGTTTGAAAATTTATAATCTTTTGCGTTCTGAGTAAGCAAGCCTCATCTATGCTTTGTGTATACGTATCGCATGAAACATTCTAATAGATTTTCAAATTAATTCCTTTGCTGATTGTGATATGCCGATTATAATCTAATTACCGCATTACCGCAATCGTCTGCGTAAATCGATCAGCTTGTGTTAAGTTATATGTTCCGGTTTCAGATTAAGCTATTTATCGTCGCATATTATTCTAGTGTACTCCGGTAGCTAATTATCGTAGACTTCCTTTCCTATGGAATCTTAGAAAATTTCTCTTCCTACAAAAATTTGTTTTGATAGGTACAATTAATTAATAAAAATAAAATAATAAACATTTTATAAATTTGCTAAATCTTTCCAAACTTTTCAGAATTGCAAATTGCATCTTCGTTTAATGTGTATATCCGCAATCTTATTTTTCGTTTTATTTAGTATGCTACTTTCTCAAATTTAAATATATTTACACATCATTTCATTAGCGAACTTGTAAACGTATCAATGATTGCATTATAAAATTATAAAATTTTGAGTATTAAATATAAAATCTTGTTACAATATTAAGAGTATTAGATAAAATTGTCTATACTCTCTTAATAAAAAATACAATAAACAGTAAATTTAATTTTATTAGAAAATATATATCCATTTCGGTTTTTTGTTAATTAAAAAAATGGCTTGTTTATTATATAAGAACAAGTTGTAACACTTAATTTCTATTTTGTGTTACAAAATTCGATGAAAGCGTCGACTGTGAATTAATCAACACTTATGTTTCAGGCTATCCTTCTCTTGGCTTTCGTCGCCATCTCTATGGCGGTGGAGACTTCCGAAGCTGGAAAAGCAAAAGAATCACAGGATGCCGCTAGGGATAAGAGAGGCTTTTCATCGTATTATTCACCATACGCGTACGCCGCCCCGTACGCATACAACTCTTACAATTTGCCATATACATACTCTCCATACTCGTACTCTGCCTACCCCTACTCTGCCTATCCCTATTACAATCACCATCACTACAATTATCCCTATTACAACCATTTTCCTCACTACTACTAACTCAAAACGTTGGAATCTATGGTGATTCGGGATTAAGATAGGCACAAGACGAGTCTTATGGAAATCTCATTATTACTTTATGAAAATCTTATGGAAGTTGCTCTTAAATTACAATCTAATCAATTTCGAAACTTTTGGTGACTGCGAGTGTGTTTGCATTTAAGTCTTTGACTGTCAATTTCGTTCTCCTACGATATTGTAATAATAAAATTGCATTACCTGAAAGAAACGAATTTTCTCTGGCGTATTAATTTTACCCTTCTTGTTTTCTCAAAACTTTAATTTTTTTAATTTTCGCTTCCGAAAATGATATTTGATAATCGCACATAAGTTATTACACTGCAAGTTATTGCATTATAATTTGCGAAAGCAATACTGGAAATGAAAAAGCGGAAAAGAAAAGAAATAATTTGTAATAATTTATTGCAATTAATAATTTTCGGTCGATTATTACATATCTATTATTTAAAATAACGCTGCGTGCTTAAGTTTGAGTTTATTAGACAGTTCTCGTTTGTGTTTATTTTACTTATGAGATACATTACTAGATAAACGGCCTGCAGTAATTGCGGTGGATAATTAACAGAAAAGCATTACGATCGAATTTTAATAGTCCCCATTTTCATAGTCAAATTCAACGAGTTTATCGTGCATGCATTTGCGTCTTCGCGTTTCATACGAATGCTTAATGTATGATCGAAAACGCGAACTTTTAAATGCGATGCAGGAAGATGTCGAGCGGAAGAAATTGGCGTCATTATTGGTCCAGTTTCCACTGAAGCAATAACGTAGAATCAAATTTAAGTCGATGGAAATGTATGTGACTGCGCTTATTTCATTCCCAATTCGATCCACAAAGTATCTACAACTAATGGAAACAACACTCTGATCTACACCAAAGTGGAATTGAATTGAGGATTTGGTGAAAATTAAATGATTGAGAGACCAAATCTGCGACGAACGAGTTGAATCTCATAAACGCGAGCGTAGGAAAAATGTTTAGAGACTTCGTTAAAGTCGGTAAAAAATCAAGTTTACCGTCTCTTTCAATTATCGTGATGTATATCAAGATTATCTTTCAACTGGTCAACAAAGAATATTATTTGAGCGTTATGCATCGTTTGCAAGCAACTTTTAAAAAACAACCGGATTTGTGACAAGAAATTTCATGGAATTTGCACCACGATAATGCTCCCGATCATACTTTTTGCCTCATTCGTAATTTTATAGCTAAAATTTTAACAAATATCGTTCCACTCTGTTTGTCTGACACCGCGTGACTTTTTTATTCCTACGATTGAAATTATCGCTTCGTTACTATATCGAATATAATAGATAATATTATGTAGGACTCTCAATTTTTAAAATAGAAACATAACTAACATAAATCAAGGCTAATGAGAGTCAGTGAATCGATAGATGCGATAAAAGAGAATACGCTATACAATTCAAAGGTTACCTAAAATCAACTATCAAAAATATAGGTAATTATCTTTTCTAAAATGATTTATTAGAAAGTATAAATTTAGATAAGCAATATTTCTTGACAAAATTTCTGAATAAACAACAAACTTTTAGTGCAAGAGATGATCCAATCTAAAACAAAAAAACTAAAAATCATCTAAAAACCAAAATATCAAATTGTTTTTTCATACAACGCATTTACGACATGTGTGTGTTTCAATGCATAATTAAGTTACATTCTGCCTTTCAAATTGCTTGTTTATGGATTCTGTCGCCGAAGAAAGTTGATGAGCGCAACGTTATCCAATCCCCGACTTTTGATTTGCAGGACATTAAATCGTGTTCACGTAATACACGCAGGCGTTCGGAATATTTCACTCGAGATATTGGAACTGACACGGCGTGGTGGTCCGATTTACGCGTAATCTCGGTGCATTACACAACATATGTCCTTACGAACGGGAACATCGCTTATTCCGTATTCCTTAAGGCTTAAGACTTCGCCCGTAGACTTTCACTGAGAGACCCGGGTGAGGAGACCGGGAAAGCATATCGGGGAGCGTGACCGGAATATTACGCCGGAGTTGTTCACTGCATTTCACGTGACATCCCCGCCGTGACCTCGTCGGAAGTTCACGACGATGCTTGTTTCTTCTACCTTATTTTCTTGAGAGTATAACTTACGAACGGATGCGAACAGGATGATAATCACAAGTCTCGACTTTTTATATTTGTTTTTTTTTACTTGTTTTACATATTGTATATATCGCTACGTTGACAGAAAAGTGACATAACCCAGACAACACAGTGTTTAAAATCGAGAAGACGTCTTTGATATCTAAAAGATGTTTTAAAGACGTCTTATGTCTCAATTTTAGACTTTGTGTTTGAGAAGAATTAAAATTTTTTTGACATAATGAAGAAAAATTGGATCTTAAAGGCTAATACGTTTTTGTGGAAAAATGACATATATATATATATATGGCTTATTTGTTTATATAGAAAAATATTATAATTCTGATAAGAAGATGGAATTTAGTTAGAGTTTAGCAGTGTTCGAATTTTAAAAACTCATGATATAGTTTTAAAGAATTATAATTAAAAATATAATATGAAAAGAAAATAAAGTTATAGAAATTACCCATGCTAATAAAAACGTTTCAATTCAGAATTCCAAAAGAGCTCTACTGAAAAGTCGTTAATTTTGAGAAGTACTACTTTTCTATTAATGCGTCTTATCTTGTGACAAATGGAGCGATATTCAGACTCTTTATCATGAACGAAACGCGACCTGTGTTTGTACCTTTCAATAAAAACAAGTCTTGCGATTTTAAATATCTCTTCTGTGTCTTTTATAGTAATTAATAGACCAACTTGGTCTTCCACGGACTTTTAGTTGCGCTTCATTATTCTTCCCTGTCACGTAGATTCATTGGTAGAAGGTTTTAATAAGATGAGGTGCGTTTTATATTGAATTTCGCTAAATCACGCGCAAGTTATTGATTCTACCGCTGAGCGCCAGAGAGTACATCTTTCGATTTAATTTGGATGTTTTTAACAGATTTTAGTGTGCTAAATTTCAACGAATGACAAATAATAGTATATTACAAATGTATTATTGTATATTTAGAAACATATATTTAGTGTCCGATTTTCTTATTGTTAACATTTTTTATTTTAAAGAACAATGGCATTTTTATTTTTACATTTATAATAATCACATACACACACACACACATACGTTATCGAGGATAAGGCTTTAGTAAGCGGCTACGAAATTTCGATTAAAGGACTATGCCGAGTATACGACATTCTTTGCATCGATATGTGTAACGTCACAAATCCGTAACAGTATTGCCTAAGTTCAATCGAAGAAAGCCCGTAAGAAAGTCTATTGTAATTCGTGGATGGTCGCGACCCGATTGTATTTATACATGTGCTGGTATAGCTGTAGCTTAGTCGGCCCGGACTTGTCCATCCTTAAACAAATTAGTTTCTTGAGTCGCGCAGTTTAATTCAATGTCGAGGTCTCATGGGAAATAGCGTAGTTTCTTATTAAAGAAGATAGTCTCAGTGTAGTGTTAAGTGCGAGAAGGATTATATGAATTTAAAAATGCGGCTGTTTCTGGTATGTAATAATCTTAATTATAAAACTTTTTTTCATATAATATATATATATATTACCATATTGTCCATTCGTATATTGATCCGCATACATATAAGTAATAAGAAACTGTAAAAAAATTTTTACGCATTTAATTTTTATATAAATATAAAATTTTATTAATATTTCATGTATGAATTTATTTTGAAATGTTTTTATATATTTCGCGTATACAATAAATAGACAAATAATTAATTAATATTTAAAGATATTTAAAAAACATGTATCTTTTTTTTCTTTTTAATTATAAGTTTTCATTATTTAAAAATATTAATTGGAACATTAAAGATACATTAAGATAAAAATGAGCACCTAACTAAATGGGTCCCAAAATAATACATAATGTCACATATTTCTATTTTTTTTCTTTCACAGAAAAATTTTACAAAATATCTATAATTAAATGTATACGGTTTTCTAAAATTTTTTCAATATAAAAAGCTTTTTGTTGATTTAAATGCATACTTTGTGCTATTCTGCAAAATGCAAATATGCGAAAGTTTTCTTTAGGGTCTTCCCATAAATATTGCCTTCAGCTTCAATAAGGTTACTTGATACTATAATGCCTATAACGTGATACTGTAAAGATTAATCTAAAAATTTATGGTCTGTATTACAGATAGGTACCGATTTGCGCTGTATAATTTTATAAAATTATTTAAAACTTTATTAAGAAAAAAATAATAAAAAAAATATAAATAAAACTAATTAACTACAAGCATATAAAACGATTAAATGTTATACCAATACTATACAATAATATAACTACTATTATTTAAACTACAATGCAATTGGCAAGAAAAGTCATAAGAATTTATTTTCGCATTTGTAGCATTCATTTTTAGCTGATTTTGTATAAAAACAAGCTACAGTTATATGAATTATGTGTTTTCACTTTTTTAATCATCTATAAACAGATTATGTTTCTATCAGTATTAATAAAAAATATTTAGTTTATGAAAAATAGGGGGTGTCTTTTTAAAAGACTTATGTTGGCGACTGTCCGCTACATATATATTTTTTGTATTTACTTCCTATACATTTAATTTAAATATTTATTCTATTTTAATTATACCTCTATTTAGTTTTATATTATAATGTTTAACTATTTTTATGCAAGAAATGTAATTTATTCTTAGGTGATCTATGTCTTCGTATTGCTTTCGCTGACGCAAGCTAAGCAGAAAGCCGAAATGCAGAAGTCAGAAGTCACGAAGCTGGAAGTGGTGAACCTTGGCGAAATTCAAGTTAAATCCAATTCCAAGCAATTCGACGTGCAACGGAAACGAGATTCCGGATACATCTATAACAGGCCGAATCATGTCTCTTCAAATGCTCGGTTTCGCATCCAAACGCAACCATCCAGAAATCAAATAGCATTTAAGATCCCTGGCCAGTTGAACAGACCGTTTACGAAATATGGATCTCCTATTCACTCGACTTCCAATCAGGCCACACATGAATTTCATGCTCAGCAACATCAGAACAAATTGCAGTACAACGTCAATCAACAGCAATCAAGCAGTTTCGGTGGAACAGGACTGGTGAAACAGGAAATACCGAGCCCGATTAGAAACGTTGATTTTACGGAGGTGAATCCGATTGCTAGTCAAAATAATGAGCCGTTTGGCATGCACACCGCTAATTATTTACCGCCGCAAAATCAAAAGCTGCCGGTTTATTCTTCGACGAATAATTTCAATTCACAGAACATTCCAAATCAGGGACAAATTCACGGTACAAACTCACAGAGCCAGAATTTCGCGCAGGCTCAGAATCAAATTTCCGACGCAGCATTCTTCTTGTCCGAGAACGCGCAGGCGATCCAGCAACTTTACGGCGCACCCGCAAGCAATCAAGACTTTGCGCCCAGCAATAATCAATTTCAGAATATCGGTAATCAAATTCATAATCTAAATGGTCAGTTTGAGACCTCGCAGAACTTTGAGGAATACCGTGACGCGTTGCCGTCATATGCATCGGGAACACTTGATCCTCGAGAGACTCTGGAACAAATTCAAGCTTTAGAGAAAGATCGGCTAATCATTCAATTGCAGCAGGCCCTCGCTCAGGCTCAGATTAACCCGCGCGCAAACACGGCGGGAAGATATGCTCAGAACCAAGCAGGTTTTATTCAGAATCAAGAACTTTTGGCCTCCATAAGTAAACAGCAAGTAAACTCGCGTATTCCCACGACGTCACAATCTACAACTGCTGGCTCTGGAAACACCGCGTTCAGTCAGTCTACCTTTTTACCAGACACCACAGTCAACCCTTTGGGATTATCCGTTAACTACGGTATTCCGACTACTACTCAAACTCCGACAACAACGGTAGCAGCGGGAGTTTTCACTACGCAATCTTCATCGCAATCATCTAAGGGTGATAGTACTGTCCAAATAGTATCATCACAACCCGCTTCTAATCAGCCTGGTTTTTCCGCGATTGGATCTCCCGCGGGGATCCCCGTTTATGGTGGATTTGTACCGACTTTCATCACGGGAACCAACTTGGCTCCCAGTTACAGTACCAGCATCTTGACATCCGGATCCTTTAGACCTGAAACATCGCCCACCCATTTTGGGATACCGATTCCTACAGAACCACAGCATAAACCGTCCGAATCAGTACCTTCGACGACAACACCGCCTCTCTCGTCTGTCTCACCATCCAATCGACCGGGGGTTGCTCTATCACCAGCGGCAATCACCCCGATAGCTCTGCCAATTCAACCATTACGACCTGTTGCTCCCCTCGCGACGCCGATACATCCGGTCACCGCTCCTTTACTGCCGGCGAATCCCACTCAAGTACAATCCATTCCTGTAACGTCCAGCGTGCAACACACGTACGGCGTGCAAACCGCATTGATCAATCCCGTCCTTTATAAACCAGTTAAAGCTGTCTATCCGGTGTACTATTATCCCGTGAATATTCCCTACCAGCTGCAGAAACCTGTTTCACCGAGTTACCCGTGGAATTACGCGCCTTCGTACATGACGCAGACAGGATCGGCGAAAATATGGAAATAAGGTATTCCTGTTCCATGTAGAGCATAAACGGAGCGCAAGTCGATCCATGGTATTGTGACTGACTGTTTATCCGCGTGAAAAAGCGAGAGGGAGAGATTGAAGAAGAAAGTTCGGCGCAAAGGAGAACCATTATCGTATAGTCTCGTGGTTTCGATGTGTTAATGACGGTGCGCTACATCATCTGCTATTTCACCTAAACAATTTCATTTTCTTGTTTCAGTAAGAAAGTTTCAAGTTGACAAAAAGAATTGCGCTCTGCAAATCAACCGTTTCAATAGGGACTTTTATTTGTTTTTATTGACACAGAATAACTTTGAGTTATTATACGTTAATTGTATTGTTACAATTGCAAGTAGATACTTGATTTAACTTGCGAAATTTTGACAGACGCCTTTCAAGATCCGCACATAATTTCTTTACACATCTTTATATTTAATCATATTATTCGAATTAGTATATATAATAATGCGTACTAAAATTTGATACGCATTGTTACATATACTAATTCGAATAATATTCATAACTCTATTGTAACCTACATTTCTATTATAATTGTAGAAAACAAGATGATTTTTTCTTTCTCTAAATTGTCATACAAGGCTTAATACTCAGCATATTTAAGTTTCTCGCTGTTGAATATAACTACGGTGATTATTCAATACGTGCCTCATACTGCATATCCGCTGCACCATCTGTTACAGCGCATCCGTTTATTTCAAATTCATCGTCGAGAAAGTGACATTATGCAGATGATAATTAGCGCAGTTGTTTCATTGGAATTAGGATACTGTGGCAAGAATCTCAAGTGAATATTTCTAAGCGTCACTTATCGTTTCTAAAAGTCGATTACGCATAAAAGAAACTTTGCCATTCATACAAACGTTCGAAGATGTTATTTATAAAGTAGAAATATATGTTGATTTCTTGTAAGTAGATTATCTTTATTTTTTATTTTTGGATTGTAAAAGCTGATATATGTGTATATGTGTATGTATGTATGTGTATGTGTGTTTGTGCGTATTATATATATTATATAAATATATATATATATATATATAAATTGTTTATTGATTTAATAATATTATATAAATGATACTTGTGAAATTTCATGCGTGTCTCTTCTACCGTCTCCAAAAGAGACTTATTTTTTTGATATGTAAATACATGTACTATTTATTTTGTCAAATAAATACTTTTGTACTTTAGAAGATAATTCTTCTTCTCGATATTTTTATTTTTAATTTGACGTATCATATATTGACAAACTTGTTTTAAACAAGAATTGCTAAAATTTAGAATTTAAATAGCGACATTAAAGAATTGCATTAGAACGACTAAATATGAGTGTCTAAGACATACGCATAATATTAATCTAATAGCAGACATACCGCAGTGCATGTAGCGCATCTCATATAATCGCGATGGAAAGTTGAGTCGAGGAACTGAATTATTTCCGGTCCCAGACCTAAGAAACTCTCACCCGTATAGTCGGGACATGATCCTCATCGCTACTCATTGCCACGCCATTCGATTCTGACCTCGAAAGTTGTTCGATAATTCCAGCCACGGTCAACGCAGTCGGGTTATCTGAACAATCCTAAGCATGCATAACGTATTGCTATTTAAGATACTTATACGATTTCGTAATCATTGCACTCATTCTTACTAGGAGAGGAGGAAAGACACGTGCCGTTGTTGTCGAATCCGATTCATCGATTGGAACAAATCTCAATCGGAATCATGAGATAATTATTGAATAGAAGTGCTTCATATTCATTCAATGATCTTTATTAATGCCTGATAATTTCTTGCAATCATCTGCGTTTTTTTTATTGAATTTAATAACTTTGCTCTTCAGACCACACACTAAAATTTTTTAAATCGGATAAGAATGATAAAAAATTATTACTTTTTATTGTTAATATATTTACGATATGGAAATGGAACAAAATTTTAGAAAAAAGATAACTAAATTTATAGGTTTTAGAGAAAGTTAAAGAAGTTATCAAATCTGAAAAAAATAAAAATAAAAACCATGTATGTGAAACCATGTATTATATATGGGAGGCAGCGAGCGTAACTTAAAGCATATTTTTGTAGATCTCTTACTTATATGCTATGCATATCGCTCATTTGCTAGTTTCTTGAGTTGCTTGCAGAAAAAGAATGAAAAGAGAAAGAAGAATATATATATATATAATATACTTTCCTCTATAATCAGTTATAACACCAATATTACATTTCAAACTATTATACTACAAACAAAAAATACTACAAAAATATTACAAAAAATTTTAATGAATTTTATAGTATTCGGAAACATTGATATTCATTTTTCTGAAAAAACTTTTGTTTTTTAGGTTTTTGTAGCAAATAAGCGATATATATATATACACATTTATGTATATAGTTCGTTGCATCTCTTACATCAATACTATAGACGATATCTTCGAGAAAGTTGTAAGCATGATTAAATCATACCGTTATCAAATCCAAATTTTAACATAGTTTTCGTAAATGTAAATTGCAAACAATATTTGACAGATCAAGCACGCATCGAGTCCGGTGAATCGAAAGTGCATGTTGACCCTGAAAACCTAGTGGGTTTATCGCGTTAAACTTGTCAACTCACTTTCCGCAAGTGACCTATATTCTACTGTCCGGTTTCCATTTCATTCCGCTGATGCACTTTTGTCATTTTACTCTGAACTCGTATAGAGTTTCTCAGATACGCTTTCTGGACCCTATTTGGAAAATCTCACATCCTATTCATCGTCAGATACACAAATTGCTTCTGTTATACGCAAACTAGACGTTTTCACATTTTTCTGTCCAATACTTTTCTATTATTGTGAATAGTTAAATGTTAGCTATTTAAAATAGTTTCAAATAGCGAGAAAGCGAGAGTTCCGGCAATGATCAGACTAAATCGGCAAGAAAGATGAGGAAGTAAGATGTTAAGAGATTTATAAACATATAAAAAAGCGGAAAGCAGTGAGAAAAAGTTAGTGATCGGGAAAGCGAAGGAATTGACAAATTTAAAAAAAAGGAAGAAAAATCTTAAATGACAAGAAAGTAAAAGACTAAAGTATCGTCAGATAATGGATTTAAAGAATCATATGTTCTAATGAAAGAGTTACATCGAGTGGGAAAAGGAGTTATGACGATGCAAGAAAATTATAATAAAATGATGATAAAGCACGAAAAGCGAAAGCTATTTTAAGACGACATCCTTTATTCGAAATCACACATAAAGCAGGATAATGATTCATCGTATCCGCGTATTTCCGTACATCGTTATGGTTCTAGATGGTTTTCTTCATAAATTATAGAATCAATTTTCTTCTAGACTTTAATAGTAATTTCATTAATAGTTTAATAAGTATTAATATTATTTTTATTTTTATTATTTAGATAAAATTATTAATTTTTTCCTAAAAATTTCAAATTTCATAAATATTTGTATGTATCCAATAATTTTTTTACTAAAATAAACGTATATATGATCTTGGTTTTTAATATAAATAAGTACAATATATAAAACTCTATAAATATATCTTATACTTTATATTTAAATTAAAAATTATATTCGTTTAATTTTAAGTAAATTAAATTAAAGTCACAAAATTAAATTTGTAGAAATTGATTAATTATTAAATTCAAATAAATTAAATTTAATTAAAAGAATTCAATATTACTAACAAACAACACTTCCTTGTCGAAAGAAATGATGTTTGCGGAACATTGTCTTTTATGCTTCGTTTTAGTGCGTGTCTTGCGCAATAATGCATGTGCACTATACTTAGCTCTTATCAAGATGTTAACGACGTGACAGGTATATTATTCGCAACACACGAAAGCTGCGATAATATCTGACGTGCAAGGATACTCTGTTATGCATAGATATGCACTGACTATAATAAGCAAAGCAATTCTCGATGAAGCTATCTATATACAATGCAGATTTTGATTACTAATTAACATCAATGTCATATTTATACAATGTCATATTAACTTAAATATTAATAAGCCTGTACGAATATATACAATATAAAGTAGCTATATTTTAAATTTTAATATATATATATATAAATTAAAATTCAGATTTCAATAAAGAAGTTACTAAATTAATATCTATACATCAGATATACTTATATCAAAATTGTGTAAAATAGCATAAAAATATTGTATATAATTTAAATATAATTTTGCCAAAATAATAAATGAGGCACTGTATACATCTTGTTATTTTTACTTCTCTTTCTCGGAAGTAGACCGCGACAATTGTTAGAATTCCCTTAATTCATTGTCTTTTCAATTGGATGATAGCCACAAGCAACGGTTCCTTTCTTTATCCTGCTAGTGAAAGTAAAACAATCGAATGTTTTCAGATACTATAATTTAACATGTTGGAACAAGTTAAATGTAATGCTATGAGAGAATGATCGCAATTACTTTCTTACGGCTGCATTCATTCTTAAACATGCTCGAATTTTGTATATGTTTGTCGAGATAAAGACGCAAAAACGAGAAACGAGATGTGGTAACTTTTTCATTTATTTCCCCAAACGTATACATTTTACTTTCAAACGGCAATCAGCTTTCAACGTATAGCAATATCTCATCTTTTTTCATATGTACGGCCCGAGAACACTTCTTAGCGTCAACATCTTTTTCTCGCTAGTACTTGCTACTTTATGTAAGAGGCTAATGAACGAAGCACACGCATAATGCTCGGCACTGTGATGTTGACCTTACACTCTCTTGCAATCAATATTAACCCTTACCGTACAAGGATACAATTTGGTGCCTCATCCATACAAACGGGGATCACTGGATCCATCCGTTTTTTTTCATCTAGTCAATGATTTAAAAAAATCTCTAAAAATTCACCAACATACTTTCAACTTTCTAAAATAAATATTGGAACTTCATTTTGGAAAATAATAAAATATAGTATAATTTATAATTATCGAAAGACTTAAAAAAAATTGCACGAAATCGCTCGGTCACTAGTGACCCATACTTGTAGGGTAAGGATTAAAAGTAAAATTAAAGTAAATGTTAAAAGTAAGATTCTCTCTATCTTTCTAGACTTGAAAGAAAGTTTCTTTGTTAA